CTATCTATCTATCTATCTATCTATCTATCTATCTATCTATCTATCTAAACCACAACAAAACATATTGGAATTTTAAAACTCCCACACTATTTCCTTTTGTAGAAGTGATATTTCTCAATTCCTCGCCTACCATTTTCTGATCGGTGCCATTAAAACATTTAGCAACTAATTACTACATGCTGTTGGGGTGAGTTAATCCTGGGTGGAGTTTCCTGTTGCTGTTCTCTTTTCAGTGGAAAGAGACAAAGAAAGTTCCCACTTAACTCTTGAGTGAGAGAACCCTGTACATCAGCCTTCTTCAACCAGACACTTTGCAATTAGACCAATACTACAGGTCCCAAAATTCCTAGCCTTTGGCTAGAAACATCTTTTTCCTGAATGAGAACCATCAAAGTTGAAAAATATGGATCAGAACAACATGACTCCTAAGATTAGAAGTTACAGGAATACCTTGAGAAGCCAACTGGCAAATTTACTTAAATCCTATCGAGCCAATATAGATCACTCAGAGGTCCTGTATGTCTTGCGAGTCACGGTATCCACCCTTGATATTGAATATTAAAATAGAATCCAGGAAATAGGGATAAAAAAAGATTTTGATCAAGGGCATGAGCAAAACCAGCAAGTTGTAATAGCAACAACTTGTTGCTTTTGTGCTTTTTTTTTTTTTTTTGATATTGATTTTTGTTCTTAAATGCTTTTAACAATTGTAAACTGCCTGGAATTGCTAGAAGACAGGTGATGTAAAAACTTAATTGTTACATACCTTTTCATATTGAATTTGATTATATAATGATAATAATTTAGGGGAAGAGAAGGTGTTTACACGAATTGCATATTTATACCCTTGCAATTTGCATAGATGTTTGTCTGCCATGTTGCGGGGAGGCAACAAGATAACTGTAGAATCTTCCTTTCTTTATTCGTTGCAGCCAGAAACTTACCTTTCTTTTCTCCAGTAAAAGGTACAATATCTGGTCTGTCTTGGTGCTCCAAGGCTTGTTTCTCCAAGTAGGACAATAGTCGTTCTCTATCGAAAGGTCCCGTGGCAGGTTTACTGGTCTGATCTTTCTGTCGAAAGCCTGCTGGTAGAAGGGCATTCTGCCACAGCGAGAAACAGAAGGAATTATTCAGTCAGGAAGAGTTGAACATTTCCACAACTTCTTTTAAGGTGACATCTAGCAGATGCGCACGCCTGCTTCAGAGCAGAGAGAATCGGAAAAGGATACGGACAGTCCTCAATGTAAAACATTTGTTTAGCGACCCTTTAAACCAGGGGTAGGATTCTACAAGTTCACACCTATTTGCTAAAATCGATTGCTAACATTCTAAGCAGTTCAGAGAACCGGTTGTTAGAAGAAATTACTGGACTAATCCTGTAAGGAAGGCAGGAAAGGAAACATTCTGGTGTTGCTTACAGAAACTGCCTCTCCATTAACCCTTATTACATTCTTGGCAGGACTAGACTTCCTGTCTCAGGAACTTCTCTGGAGTTTTTTTTTTCCTCCTTTGCTGGTACTTTGCTTGTGTGGAGTGACCTTTCAAAGTTACAATGGCACTGAAAAAAGTGACTGATGACCGTTTTTCACACTTACGACTGTTGCAGCATCCCCACAGTCATGAGAGGCCAGGTGAGGAGACGTGTGCCTCGATGTGAGTGATGTTGAGTTGGCCACGACCAGCCAGTCACATGACCACTAAGCCACACCCACCACCTAAGCTATGCCCACAGAACCGGTTGTTAAAAATTTGAATCCCACCCCTGCTTCAAACTTACAATGGCGCTCAAAAAAGTGTCCTTGCGTTTACAACCGTTGCAGCAAGGTAATGGCCCCTCCCCCAAAAGATAAAAGCCAGCTGAGAAACCTGAGTTCTTTGCAGGAAGCAAAGAAGTTTTTGCACTCAAGCCTTGTGGATGTTCAGAATATCTTGGTTGGTGTTTGGGAGACTCTTTGTGTTTGAAATATATCTTAGTAACTTTATCTAACGTTCTTGGCAGCCTTGCACCACTTTGGCAAGGCTCGTTCTTATCAGAGACAATTAGTTTGAAACAGCCTTTTAACCGGGAAGGAAGGGAATTTGTAAAGAATCATTAAAAGGTTTTTCTGTTACCTCCGCTTCATGTTTGTTTCCTTGGAACAAGGTTTGGGTCAAAACAATCCCTCTGCCAGCACACACACTCACCCTCCCGGGCTCCATTTTCGCTGGCAGAGGCACCGTGGGCAGGTCCTTCGCTGTTTCCAAGGCAGCCCTGTGGACCCCATCTAAGCACCTGGCCTGCGGGCCTTAAGTTTGACACCCCTGCTGTACACACTACAAAACTGATTTGGAAAAAATGCTTCAGAGCTGAAGGGAGCTATTCGTATTCACCATTTTTTTTTCTGACTTGAGTGGAAGTCTGAAAAAAAAATAGATCCATTGAATGACTAAAGATGCTTCTCTCTACACCCTATGGAGCACTTCTGAATTGTTTTCAAAGCACACACAGATCTAGCAGACGTTAAACTGCAGCCTTATCCCACCATCACACTCTCAATAGGCCATCATCTTCTGCTACTTCATGAGTCACTTGAAATATTAGCAATAGTATTTAGTATTTTTTTTTAGTATTTATTTGATTTGTCAATCTCTTACAAGGTACAGGTATAAGAATAAACATAGTTTTGAATACATGAGATAGATACTTACAAGAAAAATAAAAAGAAACAATAGGACAGGGACGGTAGGCATGTTGGTGCACTTATGCATGCCCCCCTACAGATCTCTTAGGAAGGGGGTGAGGTCAATAGTAGACAGTCTAAGGTTAAAGTTTTTGGGGTTTGGGGAAGAAACCACAGAGTCAGGTAGAGTATTCCAGACATTGACCACTCTGTGGCTGAAGTTGTATTTCCTGCAATCAAGTTTGGTTCGGTTAACCTTGAGTTTGTATCTATTGTGTGCTCTTGTATTGTTATGGTTGAAGCTGAAGTATTCATTTGCAAGTAGGACATTGCAATGTATGATTTTATATACTATATTTAGATCAGACCAGAGGCAGCGTAGTTCTAGGTTTTCTAGGTCTAGAGTTTCAAGTCTGGTGGCATAAAGGAATTCTGCAATGAGTAGAGGAGCGGAGAACTCTTCTTGTGAAATATTTCTGGACTTTCTCAATTGTGTTAATATCAGATACATGATATGGGTTCCATAATAGACCTCTTTGTTCCTTCTGAATGACTGTAAATTCCACAATCTATTATTATCACAGGCCACATGGAGTTGAAGACCTCCCATTTGGATTGTTTATCCTAGTCTTGTGAACTCGGGCATTATATACAGTGGATTGTGGTTCGCTGTGACAGACATTGTGGGTACCGTTAAAACGAACCATGAATCTAGCTTGTATCTTTATACCTTCAGGCATTATAAACATTTAAGGGGCTAATTTTGAACGTCGGAAATGTGGTTTCATTGTTTAGAACGTACCTCTGGATCTAAGTCATCAAGGACATTCTCTAGCTGTTTTAGTTCATCCTCAGAGAGTTTGTTCAGAATTTCATCTTCATTGATATTTTTGTATTTCTCCAACTCTTTCCGGAATGGCACTGACATGTCTCTCAATCACGTCCTTTGTCGTTTACCTGTCAATCATTCACAAGGCACTCTTCTTGATTCCTGGAAAAAAGAGAGATGGTTAGTTCTCTCTGCTAATTTACAAACATTGCAGAAGTAACTTATTGGCGATGTTTTACATGATATGATTTGCAATACAAAACATAATTTTAATATCTGCTTGGTGCTTTTAACTATTACAAGTACTTCCCAAATATTAGTTTGTTGTAATTCTTCTAGCACTCCTCTAAAAATTATTAGCAACAGCTCATTAAGTTCTCACAAGTCATAGGCTAGCTCTGCCCACCTTAGCTATCCATTGTCAAAGAAAAGGAGCATTTATTTTATCAATACAGCCAGTCTGTGTTCAGATATATTTTTATCTTTCTTTTTTTTCCTGGCCCTGTCTCTTTGTTTGTCCTTTGACTTGGCATAACTTGGGTGCTGGGTTGCCCCATGGCCCAATCACAACCATTCCCAGAGCCGAAGGGTCTTCATCTCCTGTGCAATGCCTGCATGTGTGGAACTGGAAAGAATGAGATTTACCCAGGAGAATTTCTTCCCACACTTTTCTCAAGGTTAGTTTCTCCATTTCAGCAAAAGATAGAAAATATTTGCTGACCTGGAAACTATTTTGTGTTTGTGCATTCAAGTTTACAGCGCTGTTTACCCATTGGATTCATTTATTAAGGTCTGCACAGAGAATGACACGTAAGGTTATTGATTAATTTCTAAATCCTTACAGTGAGACAAGAAGTATGATCAATTCGTGTGAGACAGAAAGTCGTGCTTATAATTGGGATCAGTTGCTCGCTTTGTCCTTGCTTCTCAAAAATGTTTCCCTCCCAGTGGGGTAAAAACATTCTTATATTCTGAATAAAAGCATGAAATGTTACCTTCAGTCTGACTTAGCTTCATGATCTCATCTAGTAATGTGACTGTACTGGTTAGAACATATGATTCTTAAATTATGTGGAGATCCCGTTGTACTATATGTCATTCTTGGACTACTACTTGAATGTCAACAATAGGTTAGAGCTCACACGTCAACACTCCCAGGAAACACAGATGATTCAAAATAAAGACATACTTTAAAATTCCCACAATGCTTCTGTCCTAGAGTCATCCTGAGAACAATTCATATATCAACCCTTCTTGGAGGGAGTTAAAAATTGGCTCAAAGAACGACTCTCGCTGCTCAATTTGAAAAGTTCCCATTGGGATGCATCAATTCTGTTTTTCAGCACAGTCTTGAATAGCAACTTTATTGGGATTAATTTTTTTCTTCTCACTAAAAATTGTTTAAACAGGAAGAACTCTATTCCATTAAAAGAAACCAATCAATCTTCGTCACGTTCAATAGATGCCTTTCTGGTCATTTGATGTAATTGTGCAACTCTTTATGCATGTCAAACTTACTCCTGCTTTGATCTAGAGAAGATTAAAGAGTTTCATAGTGCGAGGAAAGAAGGAAAATATCCCACTTTGCTGGGCGAAAAAAAAAAAAGACGAGTAACTAGACAAGAATAACATTTAATGGGAGTGGTCTGTCAACAGAAACAACCTTCATTTACTCTTTGCTTTAGCCCAGTTGCAATGAGGACTATTGTCTTTATGGAAGTCTGGAAAAATAACCAAAAGAAAACGAGATGTTTTTCTGCGAACCTCCCAGAACTGGCCTCCCAACATCCGAAGCCATCCAACCAGATTACAGGTGGACGGTTGAGGTGCACCAATCTTGTGGCCTTCTAGATAATCCCCAACTGCAATTCATAGGTCACCTGGCCAGCAGGTGCAATGAAGAGAACTGCTGGAAGTTACTATTTAGCATCCTCTAAAAACTCAATTCCTAATCGGTACCAAAGTATATGTAGAAAGTCACAGCCGACTGATAATCAAACCAGCCTTCTCTATCTTGATGTATCCTCTTCCACATATGTCTGCAGGCTAGTTCAGAAGACTGGGCATTCCAAACTCTCAAACCAGAGTTGAGAAGCTGGGTTCAAGATGAGTCACAACTGGGCTGCATGCATAGGTTCAAATCCTCACTCATTGGATAACTTTGGATCAATCACTTATTCCTGATCACTTGCCTTACAAGATTGTTGTAAAGAAAGAAACCAAGAGACACAATCAGGAGAGCATACTTAACATACTTAATATTTCATACAAAGCCATTTTTCTGCCCCATGTAAATTGGTCTTTTCAGGCCTTTCTCTTCTACTATAGATGCTCCTTCCATAAAATGTTTCTCTTCAGAAAGAATTCCTGCTTCTATCTACAGTTTCACCGAGGTCATAAACCGATAATCGCTTCTTTGAATTCTTCCAGGAGAAAATTTCCATCGTGCTGTTTCGGACACATTTCTTTCTTTTTTTCCAGAGATAACATTTCATGGGAACCAAGAGTGGCTCTATAAAAAATGAAAAGCCACATCTTGAAGAATAGAGGGCACTATAGTTGTGATTCTCTACACACACACACACACACACACACACACACACACACACACACCAATTCTACCACTCTCAAATCTTTCGATTTCAGAGTCAGAAGAGATTTTAGAGGCCGTCTATTCCAACTCACTGCTATGCAGAGATCTTGCCACAATGGCTTTTCCTATAGAAAGACAAATTCTGCTTAACTCCCTCTCAACTATTTGGACAGACTGTTTCCCAAAGCACTTCATTTCTGCGCTGAACTATTTTTACTCTTTGACCGCATTTTTCTATTATTTAGCTACAATAGTCATTTTTCCAATTCCAAGCCATTGTCTCTAGTCCTTTCCTCTGAAGCAACATTCGTTATTTTAATAAATTTTATTAATTTTGCAAATTTTAAAAAACATAAAATAAAAATGTATACATTGTTATCAATATCAAGACATCTTTCATATCTCCTTACATTTTTCAGTATACGTATTTACTTATTCCTTTACCATTACATCTTACTTTTGCTATAAATCAAGATCTTTTATCCTTACACATCAATCTTCTCTATGGTATATTTACATATTTACATATTCCCTCATTCTTTTCCTAATTGCCATTTTATTTTCTTTTTATTTCTAAACCACTCATACCAGGCATACCAGGCCCTATAGTAAATTGAATCTTCTCTGTCTTTTATTTTCATCGTTAGCCTGTCCATCTCTATACAATCTATTATTATTTTTATAACCATGCCTTCTGGTGGATCCCCTTTTTCTTTCCAGAGTTGTGTGTACGAAATCCTTGCAGCTGTTAATTTTCCAAGCCATTGTCTCTAGTTCCTTTTCCCTGAAGCAACATTTAATTTTTTTTTTCACAATGATAAAATTAACTACCCATCCAGGGAGAAGAAAGCAGCGTGCCAGAAATTATCTGTAGCCTAGATGAGCAGAGAAAGCTTAACATATCCAAAGACAGCTTTTATCCCACAAAATTCAGAAAAAAATCAACCACGGGCGTGCTCGTAAAAAAATTCCGAAAACCCAGCATCATAACCAACGGACATTTGTGATTATTTTTCAGGTTGTCTTCAGGGTGTGGTGAGAAAAGTCAGGATGATGGCTGCAACAATGCGGTTGAAGCTTTGCCTACTTCTCAGGCATGGCACACATTCAAAAAAATCCAGCTAGTCCTCAACCTACGACCATAATTGAGCCCCAAAATTATGTGGCTTAAGTGAGAAATGTGTTAAATGAGTTTTGCCCCATTTTATGACTTTTCTTGCCAGGTTGGTTAAGTGAATCGCTGCAGTTGTTAAATTTGTAACCCGGCTGTTAAGTGAGTCAGAAGGTTGCAAAAGGGGACTCCCGGGACCCCTGCACCCGTCATAAATGTGAGTCAGTTGTCAAGCTTCCGAATGTAAAATCACATGACCATGAGAATGCTGCAACAGTCATAAGGGTGAAAAATGGTCCCAAGTCACTTTTTCCAGTGCCGTTATAACTTCAAACAGTCACCAAGCGAAATATTGTAAGTCAAGGACTACCTGTAGAATGTTGATTAGACCCCACGTGGCTGCCACATGCCCTGCGGATAGCCCTGATTATTTGTGCCTTGAGTTTTCCGTATTGATTTGCAACTACTGTGAAAAAGCTAGTTTTACCTTCAAAAGTTAGGAAATAAGGACAGCAGACAGGGCCATAAATAGGGAAGAGGATGCGTTTGGAAGCATATCCATTGCTCACAAAATGGCCACAACAATCCATCTTCCAATCAATTCCACGAAGCTCTTGAGGTATGATGGATAGATTAATCAACACGAGCTCCTATTGGACCTTATTCTAGTTTAGTTTAGTTTATTGTCATTGCACCTCATACAACGAAATCAAACGCCATCTTCAGTGCACATCATGACCATGAAAGCAAACACAAACGCACATCCTTCACACTCCACACATTGAATAGAAACCCGCTGACAACTGCACCAACACTGCGCTATTCAACCAAAATGAGGGTTATAACCAGCTATGCAGGCAATGTATGCTTCCCAGTCCAGATTCCCAGGATTTAGTTTTTCTTTTTTAAATCTCTCTTAATTTAAGCTTTTCAAGTTTTCTTCGGACATGCTTATTTTGGCAGCGACACCTGGCATAGTGGCTCGCCTTGCTCTTAAAATGCACTGATTACACAAACTGCAGCTGGATCACAAGGAGGGGGTGTCATTCTGTGGATTTAGAAAGGAGGTGGCAGCACAAAAAAGGCAACCCAATTTTCCAACAAGTGAGTCCCTTTGAACCTTTTGTGTTTTAAAGCAAGCATTTTAACCGAATTCTCTGGTTTGTTAAATACTAAACAAGTAATATGAGACGAAAGCTGAAATTAATATTTTTTTTAAAGAAAATTGATTTTTTTTTTTAAGGACACCCAATTTATAAAGAATTACATATACCAGAGGTCTCCAAACTTGACAACTTTAAGACTTGTGGACTTCAAGTCCCACCATAGCTGCCTGAGGAATTCTGGGAGTTGAAGTCCACAAGTCTTAAAGTTGCCAAGTTTGGGGACCCCCTGGCATATACCAACTTTTCGCCTTTTCATTCTCTATACACAAACTGGGGTCATCCAC